GTTTGAGAGTAAAAAATAGGATGAGGAAATTGTGAAGCATAAGGGATGAGAGAGTATTTACCTGGAGCTACATAGTCAACTGATCCTCTTACCCCAATGGAACTTGTTTGATGATTTGCTGACACATTGCTGGTTAGTTTCGAGAGAAATTTTGCTAGTCCAAAGTCAGAAACATGGCCTGTCAATTCCTTGTCCAGAAGAACATTGCTTGGCTTGAGGTCACAATGAACTATTTGTGTCTCGCAATGATTATGAAGATAATCCAGAGCACAGGCAACATCCATGGCAATGTCCAGCCTCTGAACAAGACTCAAATTCTTGGGTGAAGTTGGATGCAGCCACTCCTCTAAGCTTCCGTTTTCCATGAACTCGTAAACAAGAGCCTTGAAATCATTACCGCGAAAATCAACACTTGAACATGCTGTTATAATCTTGACAAGATTTCGATGCCTGATATTTCTTAGCGCCTCATATTCAGCTAGGAAGCTCTTAGAAGCTCCTTGGCGTGACAGGTTAAAAACTTTAATGGCAACAAGTTGAGGTGACCTATCAGGATCATCAAGAACTCCTTTGTACACAGATCCAAAGCTACCAGAACCAATCAAATTATCTGAAGAGAACCCATCAGTAGCTTTTAGAAGAGTAGCATATGAGACTTGCAGCATAGAGTTTGCCAGGTTGGCGCTTGATGATGCAGTTTTTTTACCCTTCTTTCTTAGCAAGCAGAGATATAAAGGGACAAAAACCAGAGCCATTCCTAGAAAGGCAGAGACTATGGAAATTATTAATTTCAGTCTAGGAGACAGTCTTCTTCTTCCCTTGGACTCTTTGGAGCTGCAGTTGGGCAGCCGGAGACTAGCAACACCACCGCAGAGCCCGATGTTTCCAACAACAGAAGTTGCACTAGCATTTTTTAAAACACCTTCAGTTGGAACTGCTCCCCAAAGTTCATTGAAAGATAAGTTCATATTCTTCAAGAAGACAAAGCCCCCTAAAAACCTTGGAATTTCGCCAGAAAAATTGTTGTGAGAAAGGTCCAAATCTTGAATCCCTCTCAATGAAGCCATAGATGAAGGAATTGTCCCATTGAAGAAGTTGCCCTGCAAGTGTAGGACTTCTAAACCCAAACAACTACCAAGGCTACTGGGAAGCTCTCCATATAGCATGTTATCAGAAACATCCAGTACACCTAGGCTATTTAGCTTTCCAATCTCCACAGGAAGGGAACCAGTCAAGTGGTTTCTGGACAAGTCTAGATAAATGGACAAGGAGGGGAGGCCAAAAACTTGGCGAGGTATTGCACCGTCGAGGTTATTTTGGGAAAGATTCAATTTCTGCAGGCCGAGGCATTGCCCTAGGCTTGAAGGGATGTTGCCTTGAAGGTTGTTTTCTTGCAATTGGAGAGCGATTAGCATGGTTAAATTTCCTAGGGAGGATGGGATGCTCCCTGATAATTCATTGTGTTGAAGACTCAACGGCCCTAGACTTGATAACTTTCCAATGTCCCTGGGGGATGCTACCTGTGAAGTGATTACTTCTCAAACTCAATGCTTCCAAGTTGATCAGGTTCACAATCCCAACTGGGATGTCTTCATGTAGTTGGTTTTCTTGGAACCCCAGCATTATAAGCTCTGTTGTGAGACTGGATATTGATGGGGGCAGAGTGCCACCAAAATTGTTACGGCCTAAAAACAAGTGCCTTAACTTTGTGGCATTGGTCAAGTCTGAGATGAAGCTCAAATCACCATAAGTGCCGCTTCCAAGATAATTTTGGTCAAGGTCAAAGTATTGAAGCTTATGAAGGTTTCGCAAACTCGGCACTTGCCCAGATAATTTGTTGTCTCCAACATAAAAACTGACTGAATTTGTGGCATTGGATATTGACAGAGGAATTGGTCCGGTAAATCGGTTCGTAAAACAGTAAAAGTTTTGGAGATTAGGAAGAGTTATTCCCAAGTCTGAGGGAAGACTCCCTTGAATTTGGTTTGCTGAGACAGAAAAAGTAGTAAGAGCAGAGAGGTTAAAGATAGAGGGAGGGATGGTGCCAGACAATCTATTCATATCCAATGCCAAAAATGTTAAATTTTTCAGTCTGCCTAAAGAACTAGGTATGCTTCCCAACAAGATATTGTCATATGCACGAAGCCACTCAAGAGATGAAAGGTTTCCCAAGGAAGGAGGGATCTCTCCTGTTAAATGATTAGACTCCAAAATAAATATTTGAAGCTTGGACAAGGCGTCCAGCTGTGAAGGAATTTTACCCAATAAGCTGTTGTGACAAAAATTAATAAAGTTGAGATTGAAGCAATTGGAAATGTTGGTAGGGATAGGGCCACTGAGTGAGTTGTTGTATAGTAATATTACCTGCAGCCTACGCAAACGCCCAATTTCAGCAGGGATTTGTTGGCGAAAGCTGTTGACTTGGAGGTGAAGTTCCCTTAGGAAGCTTAGGTTTCCAATGCGTGGGGATATGGAGCCCACCAAGTTTTGGGACCCTAAGTTGAGCACAGTGACCCTCTGATGATGCCTTTTGCTGCAGGTAACGCCATGCCACATGCAAAAGTGGATGGAATCGTTCCATGAACTCAAGACATGACGAGGGTCTTCCTTTATTTGAGCTTTGACGGCCAGCAATGACACCCTATCCCTCTCACTTCTTTCCAATAGTCCCAACCTATGGGACTCCATGGATACGGAACGGTCCGAATGCATAAAGCTCCAGCAGCAGACGAATGCATTGAAAAGTGTGCATTCTGTGATCAATAATCTCACAACCAAAACCTTCATTCTGGGGGATCAATAAGTCACGACGTGTGTTGTCTGTCTAGTTAAAATATAATTAATACGTGTTACAAAATATATTCTGAAGAATTACCTCCAGTTATGTGTCGACGATGGAGAATGAGTATGCCGTCGATTCTTGTTAAGCCACCTTCTCCACTGTAAAGCCAGTGAAATTAAGTTTTGTTCAATTTGAGAGATGGTTTGTGAAATTGCGTACTTGAGTTCAATTTGGGGCGTGGAAAGCTAAATTATAGGACGTTTAAAGTCAATGGTCCACTTGCTGCCTAAGACTGTTGTTACTTTTTTCAGCATGAAGTTTCTTGGTTGTGTAGTTAGTAGTTACTAGGAAGAAGAACATTTAAGGCATAGGCTTCACTTTTCAAGTCCACGTAATTTGACTTTTTTAAGCATAGGCCTGCCTTAATTCACGGTGAAATTGATTAATTAGGCTTGATTGCATGGGAGAGGATCTGTTTTCCCCAATTTGGTGTCTATTTTCTTGTTATTTGACACGTGTTCTATAAATTAATCTCAATATAACAGTGTTAACCTTAAATCAATTTTAAAAAACTAAGGGTTCGTTTAATAACTATTTCAATTTTTTTTTTCAGTTTTTTTTTTTTTTTTTTGCTAGAGTATAAAGGAAAATGAAAGTGAGAATAACAGTGAAGATGAGATTGAGAGAGAGAGGATAAGAGGAATGAGTAACAGAAGTGAAAACAATTTGAAATATATTTCAATTTTTTTAGTTTTTGTTTTCACTTTTGTTACTCATCCCTCTCATCCTCTCCTCTCCTCTCATCTTGCTTCGCTATCTCATCTCCACTCTCATTCTCACTTCCATTATTCCTCTTTTTCCTCTATACTCTATCACAAAAAAATAAAAAATAAAAGCTAAAATTAAAATGGTTTTTAAATGGTCCTATAAAAAATTGAAAAAATAACAAACCAGCAATACCGTGACCTAAGTCTCCACCGCGACCCATTCCAACCACCCCACCCCACCTGCGGCAACCTCCGATCCATACGGCGAGCTTGACGTCATTCCCCGCCTACTGACAACTATCTGTTTTGGTAGGAGGTTCATTTTCCTTCTTCTCTTCTGCTTCTGCCCACACGGAAACTTCCAGAGACGTCGAGTTCAAGCCTTCCTTGTCAAACGCAAAGACCTGGTCCTAATTTTTGGGTCTTGGCCTTATGATGATTTTGTGGTTTCATTTCCTGGAGTATTTTCTCATGCTAACGTGTATTTGAATCAAGGCTCAAACACCATTTGACAGCTTCTTCACCCATTCGAGCTTGTGAGTCGTCACAAACTCCAAATACAGTATGCAAATAGTGGCTTGTGAGTCGTCAATTGAGGTATGTAATGTGAGATTATTTCTTGGCTTGAGACTTGTCCTAGAATTATTAAGGAGATTATTTCTTAGTCTGGGACTCCTCCCATATTATTTCTCGGCTTGAGTTCTAGCTAGCTACACATCCACCCATTCCTCCCTTGACAAGACCCATCTCATAGAGTTCAATTCAAGAAGCTATGCCAAATGAAATCAGGCTTGTGAACCGAATAAATTGCGAAAATCATCTAATTCACACCTAATTGGTTTAGTTAAGTTACATAGAAGAAGTAAAAAAGTACATGGTTTAACAAACCGAACCAAACCGCCCTTAGTGACATTCGCGATTTGGTTGGTCTGTCATGTTTTCTGGTTGTTTAATTGAATTTCTCTTTTCTCTCCCCAAGTACATCAAAAAGAGATGGAAGATGATATGGAGGAGGCACGATGCTAGGGTTTCTAACTACAAGATCATTCGCCATAGATAGATTATAGATACCTACCATCATAAATCTCTCCTCTAATTCTTGTGATGGGTTATAAGTCGTTGCCTCCAAACTTCCAAAGTCCAATGTCTTAGCGCCCTTCCACTACCACGTTTTTAAAATTCATTGGAAGGTAGGGGGGAGCTGTTGACTTTTAATACAAATACCAACTTAAAGCAATTGAATTTGACTCCCCTCCTCCTCATTTTTATCTCCAAGTCATCATGATTCCCTCCACAATTTCGAATCAATTTTTTGACCTTTTTTGTCATGGGATGCTCTCTTTAACCTATAAAAACAATCATGAATTCAAGTGTGTGGCAGTCTGCCATACGAAGATAAATCTTCCCAAAACCAATTTAAATAATATTCCCCCCACCAAATGCAATAAAAATTAATTAAATAAGTACAATTTAATTAATTAAACTAAACACCGCTTTTACAGATTTGAGATTCTGCCTCTCTATTCCCCCCATTATCCTATTAATTAATTCAACTAAAAAAATAAAAATAAAATAAAATTTTACATCAAACCCACACCCACAATCGCTTTCTCCACCCACATACCTTCTCTTTCCACCCACTTTCCCTCACGTTGACTCGAACACCAACCCCACGTTCTCCGGCGCATGACGGTGTTCCCCTTCGTATGTTACGATCAGCATCGCCGGATCATCCGGGGCACGCTCCACGTGTTTCCTTGCTGGGCACCCCCTAACCGTACTGCACTTGTAATATCCCCTGATAACAAAAAACAATTGTCCAAAATATTAGACCTAATCCAGACCGTCAGATCATGCTAAATTCTGATTATTTTGCTCCTTTGTATATGAAGGGCACAGATTTAAATTCAATACCTTGGGTAGGGTGAGCCCTTGATCGGCTTTTGACCGTACTTCCTCCACGAGTACTCGTCCGGTGGAATATCGGCGATTTTTGAACTAATCGCTGGGACCCGAATGGTTTTCTTCACCCGATTTTTCCTGAATTATAGAAAGAAAAAAACAATTAATTTATTTTCTAAAAAAGAAAAAGGTCGTCGGTCAAACTTAAATAACCAAGTATTTTTCCCTCGCGCGCGAAAAAAGCCAAAAAAATATTTCGCTAAGATGCGCCATTTGGAAAAAGGCGCATCTTATCATGTCATCGTCAACAAGTGCTGCGCCCATCAATGGCCCAGCAACCAAACTAGTTGACCCGAAACTTGGACGGATCCACCAGATTATAGCCGAGTTGAAATCGTCCGAGTCAACTCGCTTCCCCGGATAATCAACTAAAATTTCATTTGAAAATCTTTGGAAAAACCAACTCTATCGTCTCTCAGTAACGGTAAATGCGTATTTTAGCTTAACAATTAACAGCGGACACAAAAATGCGCAGACGGTGAAGCACGCATACCTTCTCTTGGAGCAATGGCACTTGCCGGAGCCAGAAGCAGAACCCGAGCCGGAATACTTGCACGACGCGTCGTCGGAGTGGTGGTCGTGCTCGTGGCACCTCTTCTTAAACGGCGCCGTAGAGAGCGGAGGCTTTGGGCCGGAGACGGCCGGCGCGGGTGCCAGGAAGATCGACGATCCTTGTTTGCCGTTCGAAACGCTGCCGTCTCCGGTGATCGCCGACGACATGAACGACGAGCTCGACGAGACGCTGAAGCTCTCCTTCGCGAACTCGATCTCCGTGCTCTTAGGATTTGATGCGAAGACATTAGGCCTCGTGAAGTCTAGCGTCATGCTGTGCGGCTGAGATTGGACATAGCTCGACTCGATCGGAGCCGGCGGGACAATCGGTAGTGTAGTGACCGGAGCCGGCGCAGGAGAGGGCCTCGGATTCAGAGCCGGAGCCAAGCTCAATGTTTGTGAATACGAGGGATGAGAAGAAGAAGAGGGGAACTGAACCGGTTGATCCGGTTGAACAGGTCCGCGTCTGAACCGGGCGTGGCCGGTCCGGTTCAGGAGCGAAATGACCTTTTTGAACTTGGAGACGGTGTGGTCGGTGATGTCCGTACAGTCCAAGCGAGACGACTGATTAGTTTGCTGCTGGTGCGATAGAAAGCGGATCAGGTGCTCCATGCTCTTCAAGCCTTGCGATGCAGCTTCCTGTATAGCCTTCTGATCTTCCATCTTCGGAAAGTTCATCAGGTCCACCGCCATTTTTGAACTGTTAGAAACGCAGACGAGGTTAAGATCTCAAGCGGCGCTCAAATGGCCATGGAAGATTTGAGAAGATGAGGAGTTGTTTTGGGTGTGTTGAGGAGGAAGAGGTTTTGGGGGTTGTGTGGTGGGGGGGTGTGGGAAAATATAAAGGGATGGGGAGTCAAAATGGGATATTTGATCGGACGGGTGAGATGGGTTTGAAGATTTCTATTGGGATGACTGATGATATAAATAAGTTTTTCCTGAAAAACTTGAGGGTGGTGGGTCCCACGGTGGGAGGAAATGTCAGTGTGGGACAACTATAAACTGGTAGTATTATATTTTCTCGTGATGAGAAGAAAACAAATGAGAAGGTTGACTGGACCAGAAGGAGGAGGAAGAGGAACGGGTAAAAAAGTAGGAGGGGGTTTGGTTTTGGACTGTACTGTTTGGTTGTGAGACTTTATTATGACTTGTGAGTTTTGTTTGGTTATAAAAGTTTATTTCTTTTAGACGGTTTTATTTGATGGAGAAATTAAGATTAAATATTGAATGCAACACTTTTTATTATTAGAAAATAATTCAAGGTCAAATTTTTTATTTAAAAAATTAGAATTTTGAGATCGCAAATTTTAACTTTCATTTCACTTAAATATTGTATAATTTTTCAAATTTGAGAAAAAATCAAGAGCATTTACTGTTATTATTCACAACCGGCACCTCATCATCATCGATGTTATCATTTACAAATATGACGGCTATTTATTTCATAACAACTGCTAATTTACATATTAATTTTTTATTATGAAGCTAAAGTTCAAATTTCATATTAAAATTTCATTATACTCAATAGTTAACCCGAATAAATTCTTTAAAATACTCTTAACTCCCTCGTCCTAACGCACCCTCACATTGGAACCGAACCGATACGTAAAGTGTTTATATATTTATTCAAACAGTTAGGAATTCCAAAGATGAATTCGGTGGTGAATATTCAAACAGTTAGGAATTCCAAAGATGAATTCGGTGGTGAAAAAGGTTTGGGTGCTCTTAAGTCTCTAAGGAAAAAAAGTCATACTTAAATTTTTTGGGACTCTTTGAAAAAAATATATATATATTATCAGTCTTTAAATGGTGCCAAAAGATATATACTTTCTTTTAGACGTAACTATAGTTATTGATTTGGCGTAGTAAAAATGCTAATAGACTTTGGCAAAGGCCGAAATGCAAGCAATTGGTCTTTTTTTTTTGGGTATAATAAATGGGGAAAAAATAAATAACAGTTAGGGTTGAATTGTCTTCTGACATGGATTGATGGTTTTCGTCAACTGTGAACACGAGATATGCAAGCATAAATTAATTCACAAATAAATAACAAAACCTAAACGTGTTGTAAAGTTAGGACATTTTAATATCACGAGTGTCGCATCGTAAAATAGTTTGATTTTTTGGATTTATTCTTAATTACCAACTAGAAACTTAGACCACATGAGTGTGCAAGTCAAAAGAAGGAAGCTTGCTTGTTTGTCCTGACCCTTGGAAAATGACCAACATGTGTTTCGTGACTTGAAATGGTAAAACTTCACCCCCATAATATTCATTTTACTCAAAATAATTTATTTGACCCATAATTCAACGCTCATGAAAGTGTCTTCTAGAATAGTTAAGTATTTGCTATAAATTGTGTTATTTCGTATTATTATAATTTATGGAATGAGGATTCAAACTTGTTTTTTTTCGAGATTAAGGCAATAGAGTTTTTATTGATGAAGAGGAAAGAAATAAGTATTAAAACCAAATTATATCCTAGAGGGGTTAAGCGAGTATTTCAACATCAAATAGGGCGTATGGTCATTGAACTACTGAAGTAGCCTACCTTCTAAACCGAACGCATGAGAAGGAACTCTGTCTCCGTTAGAGCACCCCCGCCCCTTAGAAACATACCCTTAAAAATTACAAGTTACAATCCTCGAAAAAAACATGGGTAATACAATCAGGTGGTTCCTCGAATAAGCGACACATTGCTCTGACCACCTTACTATATATGTATTTACAATCTCTTATGTCGTGTTTACTTATCAAGAATGAGTATTAGAAAAACTTCAATTTATGCTTTTCACATGGATATTGGAATAATTCTAATTTATGATTTCCCTAACATATGAAATCATATGGCTTTCACATTAAAATATGGGGAGTATTTTTGCTCACCACTTTAGCTCAAGATGTACCTCATCACCATTCTTAGAAGTTGACACATGTCCATAAATATAATCATAGTTAACTTTTAAAGTTTTAAATTTATTGAAGTATATAAAACCAAATATAATAATAATAACATTTATAAAATAAAAAAACCAACAACCCTAGCCACCATCCCCGACAACAACATTTAAGAAGGATAGTGAAAATACACATTGAGTTAAAGTGGTGAGCAGCAAAATGCTCTCTTAAAATATGTAGTTAATCCAATTCTCATTCCTTGATTCCCCTATCCAATTTCCTGATTTATGGCTTCTTCTATTATCTGACAAGTAAATATACCAATAATTATGGGAATGCCATGTAACTTGATCAATGCCTCTACGTGAATGAGAAATGTCAAATTTTTATTTATTTTTTGGCTGAGTTATTAATGGGATTAATTAATCACTGTTCTACAACAACAACAAAAAAAAAAAAAAAACTGAGTGGGGAAGAGAAAATAAAGCTGACCAAAAGTCGGGGATCGCGTGGAAGTCTCCTTTTCGTTTTAGGTTTTAGACATAAAATGTTTTTCACTTTTGGAAAAAGCCAAAACTTTTTCAAAAAAGACAAAAAAACCACTCAATTTTCAAATCAAAGACATGCAAATGTATTGGATTCCTTAGGAAATCTAAAAATAAATAAGGGTATTTTTGTCCATTTTTGTTTCTTTTAAAATTTTTCTCTCTCCTTTTGTTTTTTCCAAAATGTCCCTTTCGTTTTTAAATCCGAAACCATTGACTAGCTTTTTACTTTTCATAAAAGCTGGGTCTTGCCTGTATCTCTTATATTAACCGTCCGATTTATCCTATAAATATCCGACGGTTAAAATGAAGATGTTTAAAGATTATGCACATAATTGCAGAGGCAAAATACTACTAACTATGCATCAATTTTTATTTTTTTGGTTAAGAAATATTAAGAATATTATTTATATTTTTCCTTGCCACTCCAATATATATACCATATGTTATACGAAGGGTTCAGGCAAAAATTCTTAATAATCTTTCTTCTTGAATTTTGATGCAATGTAATGGATAACGGTGGAAAATAATTTAAAATAAACATAAATTTACATTTTTGTAATATCGAAATAGTTTTTTGACAACATATTTACTTCTATAAGTTATGCAATTTTTACCTACTCTCGTAATTGTGCTCGCTCCACGTGTATTTATTTTAGAACTCAAGGAACGTACTGGAAGAACTGAATAATTTTTGTCACAAGTTAACTTACTTTATTCACATCCTAGAGTTAATTCAACTTTTAACTAAAAAATTCGTTGAATCTCAATACGAATCGATGTTTGACTTTGCGCCGGACCACCTCCAAATTTTTTTATTACATTGTGGCCATGTTTGATACGCATAGGATTTGATTCTCCGCTAGAAACATTTGTATGGATAAAGAAATAAATTCGTATCTTCAAAATTTGATGCTCCTCCTCACAGTCGAAGAGATAGAGCACCCAATAGCCAATAGTGCCATAATTTTATTATCCTCATAATTTTAAAATGTTTTAAAAGTCAAATAAAAGGGTTTGCAAATAATAATAATATCAAGACAAAGGTTGGAGTGCTTAAAAGGATCCAACTGGCAATGCATATAATTTTTGTATTGGTCAAGACGTCCCTAGTTGTTTCTTCTCTCTTATTTTTATTATTATATATTTGTTATTTATTATTATTATTATTATTATTATTTTGGAAGCTTCTAGTTGACACCACAGTGGACATTTATTTAATAATTAAAGTTTGATTGTCGTGCAACTTTTGAAAATATTATTATTCTTTTCTTAGCAATCTCGGTAGGCGTTGAATTTTCTTGATCGGCATAATTAAATTTTGCATCAAATCTTACCCCACTTGTGAAAATCGGTATTCAATATCAAAAGCACGCCATATGCTTTATTCTAGGCATGTTAAACAAAACGGCCCCGTCCTCTGCCGTTTTAGCCATGACGTGTGACCGGAGCTGGGCCTTATGGGCCTAAACAGTCTTGAAACAGGCTGCCTCTAGTCTCCGAAATTTAAACACCACAAGAACTCTATAGTGATGATATTATATATAGCCTTGATGTGAAACTCTATCTTTTAACTATTGAATCAAATTTGTTCGCCGTGGAATTAAATTGGTTAGCCTGATTTAATAGTTAAGAGATAGAACTTCGACTAAGAGCCATATATAAGGCTCTCCCTATTGAATGACTCTAAACTTCAAGGAGCAATAGAGTTGGGCCTTGTTAGCCCAGCCTCGGGACTAAAATTGGCCCGTTGGTATGTATAAATTCCCTTATAGGTCATATTCAAAGTGAAATAGTAAGAAGAAAGAAACTACATTAAGTTGTGATATAAATACACTGTCACACACCATTCCATAACTTAACACCAAGTTCTAAACAATTCACATTTTAAATGTTTCTTTTAAAGTACATTCATGCAAAAAAGTTAGATCGGAAAGGATTAGCTATTTAATTATCATCATGGTTATTTTAGTATTATCAAAACACACTATATTCGTTTCCTTAGTTTATTGTATATCCTTGCCCAATGACGGATAAAAAAAATTTCTTTATGAGGGGTAGATAAAGAAGCTATAGAACAAATATTTTGGCCCACCCTGTCCAACACCACTCTGAAACAAGGAGCCTACCCCCTCTAACTCCTTAATAGATCCACCTATGCATCAATCTAAATACCTAACTTACCATGGAAAGACTATTCGATAATGCTTGACTTCCCCAAAGTAGTCTATAAACATTAATGGAAAAGTCAAATTATTTATCTCAACTTATTTAAGACATAACAGCCAACGGGATTTGATGCAGTGAAAAAGGACATTGACTTGTAGACTAGTTGTTTTAGCTCCGACTTCCTTGACACCTTAAGAGTATGTGTGAAAAAAGCCTCATTCCATTTTCTAACATTGACAAAAAAACCATC